TCTCAGTGGTTCACTAATTACCCACAAACTCCCATGAATCCTTTAGAAGGGCTGGGACGGGTCTCCACCTTCCCCTTGAGCTGGACTACAGGGGAAATTAATTACCATGAAGGTGTCCCCCACTGTATGAAAACAAACACGGCGAAGCGCTACCCACAGGGAATGCGAGAGCTGCCTTTCTAATTGTCCAAATACTGGACTTGCCTGTTTACAAACAACCGGGCTCTCTGAAAGCAAACAGCTCTGCAGAGATACCATCAGCCAAAGAACGCCAAGCTCCCGGCCTGAGGACTCTCCCTCTTCTTAGAGAGCACATGGAGAGCAGTGACACTCTGAATCATCTTCTTAACAACGCTTTCAAACATCCTGCCCCAATGAGTTCAGGAGAGCCAAAGCTGTCACAAATCTTGTATTTTTTTGCATTTTGATATGGCTTCCTCGATCACCTAGATGAATTAGCAGCAAAGCAGGCCTTGTCTTCTCATTTGTCCTCTGCATCTTGATTTTCAACAATGTCAATATCCCGCAAAGGCTGCTGGGTATTGTTTGTTGTCATGGTCTTAGAGAGAGAATTGCAGTTATTGCACTCTTCCCATCAATGGAAGATTCATTCATGGAAAATAAAAATGTGAAAAAATACTATTTAAAGACATAAAAACTCAGGATGAGGATGTGGATAAGAATATTAGTTATTTTGAGTTAACTTCTGACATACACACATGTGATACATAATGCATTAATTTCACAAAGGACCTGTAAATGAACTGCTAATGTGTGAAAACACACATTATTAAGGCGTGTGGTGAGGGTAGGGCAGAGAGTCAATGAGGCAACATGACCCACAGGAATAAAAGCACATGGAGATCGCCCTGGATTTTCATTAGATGCCCAAAACCTCGCAGACTGAAGGATGCTGGGAAGCACCACACCCAGTTGGCTGATTCTAAGTGCCCTGTGAAGTGGGAGCATTTTGGAAAGGAGGCTGATTTTGCCAAGCTGTGCATTTGATGGATTCCCCTGGCCTGCCATGATTGTTCGTTATCTATCAAATGTTTGAGAAAGGCCACTTCTCATCCTCCTTAATGAATATTTTACTTGTGCCATTATGGCAGGCGAAAAGGAAAAAAAACCTGAATAAAGATGTGTTAAAAGTATCTAAATCTGTTGTAAAGTTCAAAAGATTCAAATTATTGTCTATGCAACACTCTACCATTTTAGAATCCAGGCTGGGAACATATTGTAAGACTCCATGTACAGGAGAAAAGTCCACACAGTCAGGGAGACAGCCTTCCCTAATTCTGACGAGGTTTTATCTCGAGGACTGATTTAGCCTCAAGGAGACTCAGATCTCGGCCTAGAATTTGGAAACACTCTCCCTCATGCGACCCATGCATTACGGAATAGTACCTTCAACAGGATGCTAACTGTTGTAACCTACCTTGCATATGTAGATGAAGGTTTCGGTAAGACCTACAGTAGAGCTGATATTTGCAGAATGCTATTTTGAATACATCAGGTGAAGAAATAATGCCACATCTTTTTTTCCAGTCTTTGCCTATGAAAATGTTATGACCAAAACCAGAAAACAGTAAGGAGACGTGGCAAGTACATTTTTAAACACGTGACTCTGCCCTCACTGGCCAACTCCTTCAGGGCTCGCTTTGAGAGCTGAATGTTCTCACCTGAAAGCTGAACCTCACGATAAGATTATTCAGCTGAAAGGTGGTGGCTGAGATTACTTCCAGTATCAGATCCTGAGTTATCAGCTACTCCAGTAACTGGGATAGGGGGCATCGCTCTTGTTCAAGTGTCCCCATTAAAAATATTTTACTAGGTTGATTCTTCCCATTTGGTTTCCCTAACAACCAAACTGCACTGGGCCACGTCTACTGACACTGACCAAGGTCAAGTGCACACAAACAACTCTAAAGCTGACAGAACGAACATAATCATTTACCCCCAGGATCCGAGTTGCTGTATGTCGCCGATTTGGCTCTCCTTGCTTTCCAAAGGCCTTTGTCTCACTCCGTTATCAGAGGGTGCTGTGGTTACATAAGAAACTTGGGTTGGAACAAAGAGCCTTGGTAATGGAACATTTATTGGCCGGGAGTCAAGAAGGCTCACCTGTCACTGAAATGCACACTTCAGATCGAAGCTGTGAGAGAAAATAGAGAGCAATAGAAAAAGAACATTACGTGTGGTAAAGTGACCTTTAATGACGAATTGTGAATGCCACCAGACCGGGTTAATGGAAACCAACTATCCAACTCTTCTGGTAAATGCGGATTGCCAAAACCTCTGGGAATCTGACTCCCCCTTTTCCCGTTTTACTTAGGGAAATCTGAAACTAGATATTCCCAAGAGCTGTGGACTCCCAGTGCATTGTTAAGCTTCGGTCTCAAGCCTTTGTCCAGGCTTCCCATCATGGGAAATCATCAGCGTTTTGTACCTTTCAGCTAGTATTGGTTTTGGTGTGGTCAGGAGTCCAAGAAAATCCTCAAAAGATAAGCAAGTTCAGTCCTTAAAGACCCAAAACATTTGCCATGTGTGAGTATGGTACAGGAAAAATGACTGGACAGTCATGCTCTGTGTGAAATAACGTCAGTTTAAAGAGCTTGCTGAATATTATACAAAAAACACATTTTACACACAGACTTGAGTTAATTCCCATTACATCTGCACATCGTTGGACTCCTTTGCATATTTTGTTGCTATGTACACTTAAACATGCACATCTTTACTTAATGTATAACATTATTAATTTGTATTTATTTGGGAATTTGGTTCTAATCAGTATTAAAACTTGCCCTTCCAGTCAAATGCTTGCACTTTGCATGTTATGCATATTGAAATTTACGAAATTTTAATCTTACATTAATTTTATTATTTTTTCCCAATTTATGTTCTGTGTTGTCTGAATATATGCACCAATACCGCCAAGACAAATTCCTAGTACATGTAGGGGTACCTAGCCAGTAAAGTGAATTCTGGATCTGATTTTAAAAGACTACAGACTGAGGATGGTAATGGACTCTCAGGAGACACTAGTAACTTAACAGGATCTGCTTTGGATTTAACTGATGAAAGATTACTCCAGAAACTGGTGGAAAACAATGGTGTGTTTTATAAACTTAGTCTTGACAAAGAGGTTACCTAAGCTTGCATTACCGTGGATGATTAATATTCAGAAAAAAATGTGCCGTGCAACAAAAGGTGTAATAAAACGCTGACACTTTTATATTTTTACCTAGGGAGGGGTTAAATACTAACTATTGAAAAACTGCATTCAGTTAAGGAAGACAATAGCTAACATTCAACAGAAACAACAGGTCATTAAACACAGCCACAGTGATGATGCTATAAATTATAAGGCAGCTTAACTGCTATTGTTATTCTTCAATATTTGCATACCACAATAGGCATAAGCTTTGTGGTCGGACTCAAAACAGAAAATAAACAAAGGTCGTAGTGGAACGAGGAGAATAGATTGAGAAAAAAACACAGAGGAAGAGAATGTGTCTGAGCCCTGTGGACAGGAATGGTTTAGGGCTGGGCTAGATCTGCACTGACACGCACAGACACACATCCACACAACTCTCTCTGAATGCGGGAGCTGGGGGAGGAGAGTGGTGGGACCCTGGAGTGCAGAAAAGCTCAGCAGGCTTTCTCTTGTTCTCCTTGTTCTGTGACCTTTCCTCTGCCGGTGCTACCCCTTTTCTCGTGTACCACCTAGACCCAACCACACGTCTTATGTTCTTATGTTCCGGTAGCCGGACACAGGACTGCACAGGACGCCTGCAGCTGTGATCCAACTCCTTACTAACCAGACTTCATGATGACGCCCATCGCATTAATTGCAGTCAAGGTGTAGTTTCATTATGAACATGGTGCCCACGACTGGTTTCAGCACCAAAAAGATCAAGCTGAGCAGCTGCAGTGCCAAGGGCATCAGCTGTCTAGAGTGTAAACTATAATCGGAATCCTTATTAAACCTCCATACTGTTGCTTAGATGTGACTTAAAGAGGAGGTCCCCTGGTGACATGCAGAGTAAACATGCTAAATCCCCTCTTCTAGCCAGGGTTTTAGCCTCTAAGGATAATGCTGAGTTTCTGAAAGGTCGCTGAAATACAAGGTACCTCAGTTGATCTCAGGTATGAATATTAATATTAGGTTTTACTTTACAATGACCACACAAAACTTTAGGTTTGTGTTCCTAAGAAATCACTGAAAGAGAACAAGTGCAGATTCAGAACCAAGACTCTAAAGTTAAACTAACATCTACTCCGGTCTTCACATTCCACTGTCTTAAAATAACAAACAACTTCCAGTTAGATATAGACTGCAACTGAATACAGAAGCCAGTGTCTATCACCAACATGGGATCAGTGCCTTTCAAAATCCACACGCTGCCCTATGCAAGCTTAAGTGCCGGTACTCCATGTCCGAGACCAAGAGCACCCCTTCAGAAAATGGCATCCTAGTCAGCCACCTGTGTCACCTAGTGGATTGACCAGCACTGACTGGGAACTGGTACCCCAATCTGCCAGGAGGTTACATTCATTCAAGCATATCCCAACCCCCAAAAGGCCATATAATTCAGTCAACACAAGATGGAAAGGCACAGGTCCTCAGAAATGAACTACCAGTGCGTGACCATCTGCAAACCCTGCAGTCTGATTACCAGCAGCTAGGTGGGGGTGGGGGGCGCACACCGCAAAATACCTGGAAGTAGCAGGTTTCCATTTAGTCTTCACAGCATGACAACGATGCAGATGGAAATGGTTGATTAGGCATCAGCTTTAAAACACCGGAGGCTGACAAGCCCCAATCGCGCTGAAAACAGAGGCGTGACACACTGAAACACTAGCTCCTAGGAAACAGCCATGTGGCGTGACAACAAAAACAAACAAGAACGAGTCTCATCCTGCCGATTCACGTCTGGAGAAAACAAAATAGCGAAATTACAATAAAGTTAAGAAAGAACACCGCTACACATGCATGCAGTTCATTTGAATAATTTTTAATCAAAAATACTTCAGAATTGTTTTGGCTTCTACTGTACATCAACAGTCTTGCGTTACTATACAGTGTCATAGCTTTATATATTTTGTTTTAAAAATGTCGTTTGCAATTGTTACCTATAACACTACAGGCAAGCCGTCTTTCTGGTGAGTACGCACTATACCAAACTACACTCTTATGTTAATGTCCATACTGACACCATATTATAGCCAAGGTGAACCCATCTCATAATTGCGCAGAATCTTCTACCCTATTACCTGGAACAAGTGCCGGTTTTTAACTTCCGATTTATTACTGTAAAACTAAAAATAAAACATTTCAATTGACAAAGTCGACTTCGGTATGCATGACGTGCATCCACATTGCGTGCAAAGTCGTTGCAATAAATGCATTTAGTTCAAAGGATCAGCAACTCAATACACTTCCAGCGGTAGTCACAGTGCTTTGTGTCGAGATAAAATTGTCAAGCTACATTTAAAATCCACGAAGAAGCAGCAAAAACTGGAACCAGCCAGTTCTTAAACTTCTGATTTTGCTCCTAAATCAGCGCAAGTTTTGGTTAAAACAATCCAGCACCCGTTTTAGTATAACAATACGTGCAATACATATTGCTCGGAAGCTTCACAACAGGTTCCTTGAACTTCAACCCCAAAGGAAACAGAAATCCCTTCCAAATAGGTTGCGTTTCAGCGGCACCAATGAGACACCGCAAAAACAACTCTAAAACGCAAATCCTCTGCGTTTCGCTATCGTTTCTTTTTCTGTTTTAGCGATTTTCTCCGTTTAACAATCATTTCGTATAGTTTGTCCATGCCCTCGTATAGACCCTCCCCGATGATGGCACAGGCCGGTTGGACGTGATAGGTAGTGGCCGGTGTGAGTTCATGGAGCGCCAGCTGCTTCTCGATGTCGGCCACCGGAAGCGATCTGGGCAGGTCCTGCTTGTTGGCGATCACCAGCAGTGGGGTTCCTTGGTTCTCCGCGAATTTGGTGACTTTGTGCAGCTCGGTCTTGGCCTCCTCCAGCCTGTCTACGTCCACCGAGTCCACCACATAGATGATGCCGTCTGTGCAGCGGCTGTAGGACTTCCAGAGGGGCCGCAGCTTCTCCTGCCCCCCCACGTCCCAGAAGTGACAGCTGATGCCCTTGGCGCTGCAGTTGCTCAGCTTGATCTTTTCTGTGTTGAAGCCGATTGTGGGTACAGTGTTGACGAACTCATTAAATTTCAAGCGGTACAGCACCGTGGTTTTGCCGGCAGAGTCCAGACCCAACATGACAATATGGAGAGACTGAAAGCCTGCGATATTGGAAAAGCCGTTTCCCATTTTCAGTGCGTTTTTTAAAGGGTTACTCAAAAAGGCAATGACAACACATTAGCTGTTATTGGAGGAATAAGGATTTCAGAAGACAAAATATGACGCGACAAAAAATGTGAATAAAGATACCCGTAGAAAAGGAGGCTTTAAGCCCCACCTGAATGTCGTGATGGCACCGTACTGCTCAGTGGTCACCTTCTGCAGGCATGGAGATCGTTCCACATCTGCGTGGTTCCAGCGGTGCGGCTCGCGCCAGCATCCCCATTTAAAACACTGGTCGGGGACAACGCTGCATTTCCCCGATCATAGATAAATCTATCCCAGATATTTATAGCTTCACACCAGCCTTGTGCTGCTCCACAGAGACCGCTGGGTGTCAAGATTGCAATAAAACCAAAACGCGTCCACCTTCTTGCACCGACAAACGTTTTCCCTTTGCGGATAATAACAAAACAAAAGAAAAAAATATATAGCCTATATATATTTAAAAACGAATACTATCAGTACTTAAATTCACGTAGAAGAAGAAGGAGGTATACATCCGTCAGCAGCCCTTCTTCCAGTCACCGCGTAAAGCGCACTGAAGGTGACACTATCCGCTCGGGTACGAAAGCTTGAAACCCGCCCACAGAGACACGAGAAACGCACCTCACTCTCACACCACCGGAATCTGGAAATACACGCACGCTGACGTCGGGGTGGATATACTTACAGTACGCAGGGAGATTGTAATTGTTTGCACCAGAAGCATTTCGAGGGGATATAAATGATAATTCCCATATGCTGAGAACAGATCGTTAATATTGTGGGGTTTGCGAGACTTAAATGTCTTAATGTATGTTTAAAAAAAAAAAAACGCAAGTACCTCAACCACTAAGCATTTAATATGCACCCTGACATAATAAAATAAACTTCTGCTTTACCAAGAGAAGTATTAAAATCGGACTCAAATGGAAAACAGTACTGTGTAGATCAACTGCAGGACGCAGTATCAGTGTTTTAAAGATCTTACTGGCACTGCGTTATGCGATGTATCGCAGTAAATGAAGGACATTTCCAGCTGCTGATTGTACACATATCTTATGGTCCATATTTCACAGAGCCCGGTTCATAGATGGACTGACCTACCGGCGGGTCACCTTCCCATACTTTGTACATGTACGATATGCCACCTGGCAAGATTCTGAATTTTGTATGTAATATATGGACTATGTTCATTGTACCCCATTTATCTTTACCAATAAAAGCAATTCTGGAGGGAACAATTGTACGATGTGCCTATCAATCTTGAAAAGATATATCCCAGATAGCACACATATGTTGAAATGACATTGATTCCAAATCAGAAAATTGGACGTACTGTAACAACGTTCATCTTCAGTCTTTCACTTTATATCAACATTGAATCAAGGTTTTGCCACCATCAATTTTTCGGTATTGAAAATCTGACGAAAAATCAATTAAGTTTCAACACTGATAATTTAACATTGACCATAATTCAACACATTTAACTATAATTCAACGTTGAAACAATAACACGGTGCTATCTGGGATACTAACTGCTCATTACCGACCCAGTCAATTAGAAAACCAGCCCCGAAACCTCCAGGTAATAACTGCTAGCACTGATGGGTTACTGCATCACATCCAATCCCCTCATAGTTTACTCATAGATTGGCATGGAATATGGAGAAATCACACCTTGTTATGCACATCTAAAACACCTAAAGCAATGTAATAGGATAAGATATACTTTATTGATCCCAGTGGGAAATTCATTAAAGTAACCTAGAGATGTGATGTAACAAATTACTGATAATGAAATTCATAACAAAATCTGGATTTTTGCGATTTTATAGTAGAACAGATACAGATACGGTGATAATAAGGAAAACGAGCATCCTACTCTGATGGATGTGTACACGGCCGTGGTTGAATTCTGGTGCCACTTTACAATAAGACTACCCATATAGAGTTTATGAATGGTTTATAATCTAGTTACTAATTAGGTTATAACACAAATTATTAATTGACAATTTTAAACAAGTTATAACAGAGTTTTATTTTTATTAATGAGTTACTATCAATTACAAGTAGCAAATGGGAGCCTTATTGTAAAGTGGTACCTGAATTCTTTTGGATTTTGTCGCCATCATGTGGACAGAATGAGAATTGAATATACTAATTTGTCTTGACCCCAGCCCTCAATCTAATCTGTCTAATCTGTCTATGATCTTCTCCACTTACTATTTGTTTGTTTGTTTTGCATGGGGCCCCAGAAACAACAAACCTGCCCCAGGGTATACAACATTCCTGTGCCCTGGGCTGCTTGGGATAGACTCCATTGTTAAAGGCTTTATCAATGGCGGCTTGACATTGTAAATTATCACCAGGCGTTTCTTAATTCAAAATGTATTCCCCTTTACATACAGTGCCCATCATAGTATTGTCCAGTCTTGTATGTCCTGTGTATGTCCAGTCTTGGTATATTACAGTCCCTCCATCACTTCATCAATAATGTAGCTTGTAGTTAGATGAGCTTATTAACAAGTCATCCACCTGGATACCTGTCTCGGAAAAAGTCTTGAAACAGTACGAAATGTGGATCTAGAAGGAAAAGAACAAAAGGCGGTACCTTTCAATTGTTAACAAGTAACTCTAGTTGCTGATGACCTTTCAGTGCATAAGTCAGAAGATGGATAATACAAATGACCGGCCAGTGGGTACCACTTCACCAGTGTGAGTTGTGTGTTTGAAACTCCCGTCCCAGCTGTGTATGTGTGTGTGTGTGTGTTCCTGTCTACCATCTAATCATGTGCAGTTAAGGTGATCTGATTACTTCCTTGTAATGTGTGAGTGCTCAGAGGTTCACGGTCAGTCCTGCCTGTGCTTCGGAGAATAGGATCTAAATCACTACAATTTAGGATGAAAAGTGAGTCAGAATGGATATAATCAATTTTATGTACGCACATTGTCCACTAGATGGCAGAATTACACCATGTTGTCCAGAAAACGTCCCTATAAGAAGCAAAAATATACATTTTAGCCCAGCTAGTAATTTATACAACATATTTACTGAAATAATTTGAATAAATATATTTTGCTAGGTTTAGCACCATTAAGGAGTTTTTTTTTATTATTTTTTAAGACACACATTTTTAATATCTTTACCTCTGTTAACTTTATTACACCTGTAATATTCAAATGTATATTTAATAAGTGTTGTTAAGCAATTCATACATTTTCCTCTTGCCTTTGTTTCGTTGTCCGTTGATTTAAACCTTTTCTTTCCGAAATGGAAAATGCATATATCAGTGTGCCACGCGTGACTCGCTGTTTGCTCATTAACATGTATGCAGTAAGTTTAACTCGTCAGGAGAGGTCGTTATGAATGTGACTACCGGTGTCCCGGACAGGCGGTAACTCGAGTGTGCAGACGGTCCAAGCTTCTCGACCCGAGGCGGACTGCGGTCATGCTGCGCAGTTCACCCCGCGAAAATGCATTCGCCACAGGATTAATTGCTTTGACAAATTGCAATTATACGCCTCTTATGTTTCCCTCCGCCCACACGTATGCGTTTCTCCTTCACCGGGCGGGATGCAGCTGACCTGGGAGACGTGGAGTAATTTCCACCAAGGAGTACCAGGTACCGGGACCATCGCCTCTGCACCCCCTCCTTCCTTTTCAGTAGGGTGGGAGCACTCCATAAAATTCATAAACACTGCCAGGAGTACATCACCTCATAAACATTTTGATCTCACCTCTGCCAAAACTATTACTGTTATTTATCCTACAAGTGCTGATTACCAGCCTCTCAGGGATACCATTTCATACCAATAATTACATAGTGTATTACTTTATATTTTACTGATACTGGAGAATTTTTAATTATGTCAGTAAACCACAAAGTCTTTGGAAATGGCTGACTTACATACCGACAGATGACCACACCTATGCTCTGGTGACAGTCATGAGATTGCTAATTGGTGGTACGGTAACAAAAAGCCATTTCTAGGTCTGTTAAGCTGAGGTAAACTTCTCAGGTGTGTCTGGCTCATACATGAAGGGGGTGAAAGTGTTGGACCAGGGTGGCGTGCTTTGAGAATGTGATCATTAATTCCCTCCCCTGCTGCCCCGGAGCTTGCGGTACTGAGATAAAACTGCTCTCAGCAGTCAGCCACTTCAAAGGAAAGGTCCATTTTTGCCCCTTCCCTCCGGACGAAGCTGTTCCATCACGATAGTCCTCAAGTCTCCCAGACAAAGGAACACGCCCTAAAAGGGCTTTCTCCAACTAGGATGAGCAGAAAGTGAATGATCTCCTGTTCTCCCCCCATTCAGATTCTGTGATGTCCTGTGAAAATCCTGGGTGGAGCCATTTTTTGTTTCAGCTGACAAGTAAACTGCTATTTTAAACAGCCCCATGTCAGAGCGCCCCCTGCAGGACAGCAGGGAGGATTGTGGGAAACTGTACTTTTAGGTGGCATGGAGGCACACGCACTGATCGCATGAACAATGAGGCAAGAGATAAAGCGTGCTGCCTTCTTTTGTGGGCCCGTTTCCATAATGAGAGTGCGATGAGTCTTTTCACTCCCTTCTCCCTGCATGTGAGAGATTACAGGGGCTCCAGGGGCTGCCCAGGAAATATGATTCCATGTCTTGAAGGGGAGGTGATTGGGGGAAATGGCAGCAGCCATCGCTCCTCCAGAGCCCTGATCGGGTATGTGCTGCAACGATTAACAGAGCATTTCTTATAAGGCATTACCCCTCCCCAGACATAGCCCTGAGTTTTTAGTTTATTTTTTGACATTGCAAAGTAAGACAGGTGTGCGCGCCTTCTGACAAATAGGAAAGGCCCCCCTGGTAATAGTGTCTGTTGCTAGGCAACTCAGCATTGTGTCAGGGCGAAGGTCGGAATGAGGGCTTGACTGTGGTCCATAAATGAGAAGGAAGCTCGCTGACCTTCAAAGCAGGAGCTTCTAGGTCCTTGGGAGTGCGATTCACAAAGAACTCAGGTAACAGTCTCACACAGTGTTCAAATCGTGTCCGAGGTCTTGGGGCGGTCCCACGGTGGACCCCCACCATGACATGAAATTGCATATACTGTATGTAGGACTGGGGTCTTCAACTTCATGTACAGTGAGAGCTACACCTACAAAGAAAAAAATCTGGGGAACTGCAGTAAAATGGGGGGCGATAGGGGGAGTGACAGTAAAAATTGTTGACTGGGCGGGGGGGCAGTAAGACTTGTCAAATGGGGGTGGCACTGAATCTTGTAAAATGGTCCCCCCAGGTGCCTTCTTTCACTCTTGTGGGGGGGTTCCCTCAGCTTGAACACTGGTCTCACAGCTGTACCGTGGCCCTATAGGCATCTTACTCTGGGCTGGATCTGCCATCTACCATCTACTGAAGTCCATCCCTCCGTCATGCCACAGCTGAAAGCGCGACATTTGAGACGCTGATCCCGTCAGTGGGTTCATTTGCATCATATTAGCATTAGCATCGCTCTCCAGATGCTCTTCTCCAGGGTCACCTGGCAGGATGCAGTACTTAGTTAAAAGTGGCAAAAAGAAATGCTGAATCAAGCCACCTGACAGGAGAAGATATCATAAAATAAATCAAGTAATGAAAAATGGCAATCAAAGCAAAGGTGAATGGGGA